TTCTGCTTCCGACTCCTTCGGACACACCAGCCTTCGCACCCTGAACAAACATTTTCATTTTTATTTTTCCTGACTTTGACAACCCAGTAGAACATCAATAGAAGTTCCCTGTTCCCTGAACTCTGTTCCCCCTTAACCTAGAGCGAACCATGCAGTCCCCTTAGTTCATCAGTAGGACCACCCTGCTCCCTATCTTCCCTTTAGTTCATTTGTAGGACTACCCTGTTCCTTGCAACCCCCCCTAGTTCATCAGTAGGACAACTCTGTTCACCGGTACCAAACCCTGTTCCCTCTTACTCCCGCAGCCCATGCCACCCACATTATACCCCTCTTCCCTTTTGACTTGTTAACCAGTGATCGGCCCCGTCCCGTCCTTCACAGATTTCAGCATTGCTTCATGATTTTTGGCAGCCGGGACGTTGCCTTCTACAGGGAGGGGATAGTGTTACGGACTTCGCCAGGGCTCGATCCCTGTTCTATCTTTTGCTGTTTCAGCTGCATCCCGTTTTTGGCCTGGCACCCTTTTTCCAAACCCCTCCTTTGGTACCGTAGGATTTTGGACAACTGGCGCCATGCTGCAATTCGGGCGCCACTTTCAAATACTGCATTTTTCAGTTCTGCCCTCGGGGCCTTTGCAGAAATGCTCCTGGTACCGTACGTGTCACCGGTGCTTATACCGGCTCCCCGTACGGTACGGGGACCGGTCTCGTACCAGTTCCCTGCTGCTGTGCTCGTACTCAGTGTGACTTGCTGTTTCGGCATTCGGAATCCAAGACTTCGACTTTGTGCCTTGCCACTGTGTCTGCGTCCGATCCTCAGTCCCAGTCCGTCGTGTCGAGTGAGTGAGTGTGTGTGTGTGCTCTCCCTCTCTCCCTCTCTCTCCTCTCCCTCGGCTCACCCTCAGCCTCACGCTCGTTACACCCAGCCTCGGCGTATGAAAGAGAGTTGTTTGCTCTAAGAGAGGCACTGAGTCATTGGCGGCATTACCTCCTAGGACGTCACCTCAAAGTCTACTCTGACCACGAAACACTTCGCTGGTTAAAGACTTGGGCCTGGTTAAAGACTCGGGCCCGAATGTCGCCTAAGTTGAGTAGGAGGGCCAGGGAGATTGATCAATTTGACTTCGAATTGAAACTGGCGTGCAGATTTCTTTGGTGCCATAGTAACCTATCTTGACGCTGGCACCGAGTTGCAAGAGAAGATTATGACCGCCTAAACAGACGATCAAATTTATAGTGTGTTTATTGATAAGTTGCAGAAGGCACCGCACAAAGTCCCAGACTATAGAGTGACCCACGGTCTACCGTTTGAAAAGACCGACGTGCACAACCTTTTATGCATACCGAATAGTGAGGAAGTCTGCAATTTAATTACTGGGGAATGTCATAATACCGAGGGATATTTTGGTAGGAGGAAGACGTACGCTAACCTCCTTCGTTCCTATTCCTGGGTAGGTATGAAACATGACTGTATAGCCTATGTCCAGGGTTGCAAAGTGTGCCAGAGGAACTGAAGTTCCACGCAGCCTCCCCTACGACTTCTGAAACCACTACCTATTCCGTCGGGTTCAGATACTATATCTATAGACTTTATGGACAGTAAAGTGAGAAGTCGAAATGGGAAGAATCATGGATAGGTTTAGTAAATTTGCAGTGTTTGTTCCTCTTCCTGCTGAGATGAGAACAGATATGATGATCAGAGAGTTTTTCAACCACTAGGTTAAGGACTATGGACATCCTTTAACTATCATGAGTGACTGAGATGCAAGATTCACTAGTGAGCACGGGCAGCAACTGATGAGTGTGTATGAGTCTAAACTGACTATGTCAATGTGTTTTTTCAACTGTTTTGTTACATTCCAATACAGCCACATTGATGGGCATGCCCAGCAGATGGCCATAAATGGGATGTGGATGCTGGGCCACATACCAGGAATAGGTAATTATGTTGAGATGACCTGCAACGTTTTCTGAGAGAACAGACAAGAAGCGGAGCCACGTGGCCATGATCAGGACCTGTGCGGTCTGTTGCCACCTGGCTATCAATGCTGACAGACAACTTTTTTTTTCTTCTTTTCTTTTTTTTGCTGACAGACAAACTGATCCCTCGCAATCTCCAAAAACATAACTCACAATACTCGGGGAAAAAAGAAAAAAAAAAACAAACAGCTCAGATCCCCATGCGGCACAATCGCAAAAGGTTTTTCCTTAGTATTATGTTGGGATGAACTGACACATTGTCTGAGGGAAGGGGCCACATGGCTGTGATTGCAACCTATAAAACATGTTGCTACGTACCACTCAATGCTGAGTCGTTGCTGACAGACAACAGATCTCTCACCATCTCCATAAAAATAGCTCAGAATACTAAGAAAAAAATAAACAGCTCAGATTTCCATCCCCACAAGGCACGATCTGGGCTCATGTTCTTTCATGACAATTGAAAAGAAGGGAAAACCATCATCTCTCTCTCTCTCTCTCTCTCTCTCTCTCAAACCCTACTGCGCCTATCAGCTTTCTCTCTTGCTCTCTTGATCAATCGATTTGACAGAAGTGCTGCACAGACCACCCTATCAAATCGATTAGCGTGCAGGAGATCTTACACGCTATGGACTCAGCCGTATTTCAGACATACAGAGAGCAAGAGCAGGGAGAGAAAGAGGGTGAGCGGGGAAGAGGGCGAGAGAAAGAGAGAGGGAGGGAGGGGGA